TTCTGATGATGGTGATGGTGATCACAGTATAAATATTGAGTGAGACTAAAAGAAGGATTGGAGCACCACACTAAATACCGTATTCCGGTATATACCGGGCAAGGCGCTTGAATCATAAAATGCTAAAATCTTGCCTTTTTACCCAACGGAATAAACTGAAATAGGTCTAATTCATCTTTTCAAACCGATTTATGTATGATAATTAATGAAAAATGTAAAAATCGGCGAAAAAAACGGTATTTGTCTATTTTGTGATCATGATTTCTGCAAGCGTCTAGAGGTACTGCTCCAATCCTGTATTGAGCTAAATCCATAAATATTCCGAACGCTCAAGATGGTAATGATTTCGATAAAGATGGACGTGATAATGATTCCGATTATCATGATGATCATGAAATTAACATTTTCTTCCTGACTACATTACTTTTAACGAACTTTGTTACAATGTGCTTCATTTGTCGAAGAGAGCCATCAGTTTTGGAAATCGATACTTGTTGTGGAAGGATAAAGCCCTAAGAGCTTTGAACGTTTGTACGAATACAGTTCTTGGAGAGATTTATGCGTAAGAATGCAACGAATAAAGCTCCTTGGAGGTACATGTGGCATAATATAGCACCCATGTTCTAATACACATGCAACGAACAAATATTTTGAAATTGAATAATTTATGTATTTTTAGTGTACCAAGCTATGAGGTAAAGAAACGATTTTCTGATTAATGCGCAATGAACTTATATTATTATTGACAAGCTATATTATTATTGTAGCTATTGTCAAAGCCATAAAGATAAAAGTTTAAACAACATATTTTTAATATTTCAAACAAATTGTCTGATTATGTCAGTTTTGAACCGATGATTTGAATTATTCGCATTATCTTTATAACATATAACTAAATATGGAAAAGGCTTTTTGATTGTTCAACCGCTTTAATTTATATCTTAACACGGAAAAAAAGTTTTTTGATTGTTCAACCGCTTTAATTTATAACTAAATACGGGAAAAGAATTTCTGATTATTCAACCGCTTTAGAAGACGCGTGTTTGAAAGTTTGAAAAAAATATTGTAAGCACCTTTAATAGAATGCATATTATTTCCTTTTTGGTCACTATATTTGGGTTCTAATCTTCTCTATTAAGTCCATTATGCCCAAGAAATGCCATAGTTTTATTTCTCAACAAGCTGTCATTTTTGGTGTCCCAAACTATTACTCATTTTTCAGTTACCTTAACCATCTTTTTTCTTCTGTTTTTTCTTTATACTAGTAGTGCAAAATATTACTTTGTTTACAATTTGCTACTTTTTAGGCAAATAATTTCACATTTAACGCAACTTTTTCCAGGTAACAAACATCTCGCATGTTGTTTTAACGCTATTCAATTATTATAAAATCATGTTCGGCCTTTTGAAAAAAAGTAAAATTTTATTCGTGTCTGATGCGTGCCTCTAGAAAAAGATATCGATATTTGAGATACCATTATGTTACAGTAGACGTATTTGTCATGTCGGGTAGGTATTAGTCAAAGACAGTGAAAGATTGAATAATTGGTCGACAAATCATTGAACATTTGAAGAATATATTTTTTCTGAACGTATCAGTTTTGCATTAATGCGCTGTATATGGTGATTTTGGAAGGGTACCTTTGTTAATATATCAAAATACGTGTTGTAAAATACTGGTATAGAATAGTTAAACAGTCTGATTTACTATGTATAAATTGTTAATGATGAAAGATAGAAATAATCAATATGTTAATAAATTGTCGTTTGATGTTAAAAATTGCTTCAAAATTTCCTAAAATGTTTGATAATCCAAACGTTATTGATTTGAAAACAACCATTCAACGTATTTATGATCAATATAATCAACAATGGTTATCGGAAATTAGTAATTCATTAAAAATAGAGATGTATAAGATTATAAAAGATAGTTTTTATAGTTAAAAAATTCCTAAGTTAAGAATAGCTTTGTCACGGTTTAGATGCTCAGCACATAGAATTATGATAGAAGAGGGTAGATTTAGGAATATTGACAAAGATCATAGAAGTTGGTTAAAATGTTACATGAATGACATTGAAACAGAATATCACTTTTTACTGGTTTGCCCATTTAATAGGGAGTTAAGGAAAGAACATTTACCAAAATATTATTGCTGTAACATTATGTAGACTGTCCGAATGTGCAGGCTGGCCTGACTCTATACTGGTGGCATAGGCTAATCATTTTCACTTTCTATCTGGTTAACTGTTAACACAAGTGTCTTGGTTATAAAAATGTTGCTTTTCACAAGCATAAATAATAAACAATTTTAAACTCATTTATTCATGTAGTTTTTCCATGGTAACAATTGAATCATGCAATGATAAAGTGTTTGTATTTTTACAATTCATCAGCAATAAATGACCCAATAGTTATTATGTATTACATTAAAAGAACACCAATGAGGTCAAAGAGGTTGAAAATAAAAAAAATGAAATTCTTATATACACCAACACGGGCACTTAAACAGGAAGATATGCAAAAGATAAATAAGGAATATACCTCGAAGAAATAAATCGAAAATGGTATTTTTGTGATATTCTTAGCCTTGTTTGAGTGGAGTGATAAATCTATTCTGGGTCATTTTTCAAAGTTAGAATAAGTATTTTAGAAAAATGAAATGAGTAATGGGTCTGAAATTTTGCACATAACTTATTGATGTACTTATATCAAATGAAACACTTATCTCAAAAAATTATTTCCAGTCCAGTCATGTCAAAAAGCCTCATTGGAATCTTTAAATAAAACTTTTAAATATACTCATAGATTTTATATCATCATCACCATCAAGTTACAAATAATGTTGGCAAAAAAGAACTTATTGCAGCAATTTTGGGAAAATAAGACTTTATTTACGTACATAGGATACAATACCAATGCATGCAAGAAAATTTACTGAGACATATTAGTCACAAAGCAATTTAGATTAATAAGTCTGTATTTCTTTACTTGGGCCCTCTATTTTACATATAATACAATATATAATCAATGGAAGACAACTAACAGTGGTGATAAAATAAGTTAAGAGAACAGCTGACTCTTTACTTATATGAAAAGCACCGTTTAAATATAAACAGTAAGATACAAATAAAAGACATTATCATAACCCTAAATAAAGCATGATTTATGGATGAAAACAACCATATAATGGTCAACTTAAAATAGTCTAAATAAATACAAAATGCATGTATTTATCATAAATCAAAATGATAAGACCTTAAAACAAGTAAATTTAACCCCTTGTAGTGACTTTAAAGGAGAATTATTGAGCATGTCTCGAAACAAAATTACAATGAGACCCATTGAAAGCAGCCTAATGTGACATTATGTTCAGTTTTTCAATGTGAAGTTGAGTTGAATTAACTATATATTTCAGAATATTGACTGTTTTTATAGTGACTGACCAAAATTTGTTTTGGAAAATGTTTTAATGTTTAATATTAATCTGCCTAAAATAAAAAAAGACCGTCGTATTCTTTTTATAAATTGAAGGGTACGCCAATAATAACATTTGGGGTGAATTTAAGAAATAATATATCCCAAAGTGTGATTTTATTGCTCAGTAACATCACTGTTAGGAGTTTGGATGCGGGGATTAATATGACGAGTGCATTGCCCGAGTGATGTAATAATGCGCATCCGATTGACAAAAATGATGTTATCAAGCAATAAAATAACCGATTTGGATATATTATTTCGATTCTGACACGACATCAACAAATAAATACTGCCGTACATTATAATTAGCTTAATTGCGCCTGATTTGTTTCGTACTGATTGTCAGCGCGTCACATTCTTTTTGTGGTAACGTCATGTGTATAATGATTATGTGACATGTCCAAATAAGAATGTCAAACAGTGATTTTATAGCATAATAACACACACTTTCGGTTCTTCTATGTTCAATGGGGAAAAATGCGGGTCGTGTTAGAATATTTCTTAAACAACAATCCTGTGAGATACCTTATTTCTGTTTATATAAATATGTGCATATGCACTTATTTGCTTTACATAGAAACATAAAGATATATATGAGATTTAATAATTTTAATTCAAGAGCCTAATGGGAGATAACTAATTTATAATTTATATTTCAATTTTGTATCTAGTTTTTGACTGTAGATATATTTACTTTCTGTGTTACAAAATAAAACAAGTGTCCTTAAAATGTGAAATCAAACAACGAGTGAAATTTAACATATGGACACTGTTATAATAATTTCAACAAGTGCTTAAAACGACCATCCTTATCTAAATGACCCCATCTCAGTACAGTTGCCAAAGTCAGTAGAATGTGGATATAGAACTTGGTCACAAAGGTGCTCGGCATAGAAGCGTATGTACATTTCAAATGTTATATATTTCAGTGACATATTTATTTATTATTTGTGTCATAGTTTGAAGATCTTTCTGTTAAAATGTGTTTGAGTTAAATACTATAACGATAGAAAAAGCATATTCAGATGCTCGTACATTGGTGACTTGTTTCTATGGTTTTATATTGTGACAATAGGGAAAATGTTTTTATTTTTATCTCCGATACAAAAGAGAAAGAACTTCAAAAGACTCAGCAATTTGATTTATATTCCTCAATTCAGATAGTTTCGTGTTTCAATGCTCTTTCTATTACGTAAACGCAGTTTCATATGGCCAATAATTATTCGATTCTAATATGTAAAATACAATGAAATATACCGGAATAAAACAGATGATAAAGTTATGTAATAACTGAAAAACAATGTTCTAAAAATTAAATCATATTGCGAGCATGCTGTAAAGTCTATAGGAGACATGCTCTGTGATTTGAAAGGTTTTTTTTCTTTCAAGCAACACAGATGCTTTTTAAGTCAAATGACGCATTTCCAGCTTTACCGATGGAGGAAGACCTCATGCGCCCTTTCGTGCAGTACTATTCGTGATAAGCAGATAAGCTATACCCCTCTGTGTTGCAAACTTTTATCCCTGTTAATTTCAGAGGTATGTTAAAAAGGATACACTTGCTGTTAGCATTTGCTGTGTGTATTCACGAAGTGATCGGGAGGCCACATCATTTGTACGTCAGTCCAAATGGATCAGACCAAAATGATGGGTAAGAAAACATTATAATGTTAATATTGTAATATTGTCTTATCTGTATGATATATTAGAAAATTAAATGATATTCTGAATAATGTTAGAGTACTTGGGGTGCTGATAAACATGGAAAGGTTTCAAGACGTAAGGTCTGTAAGACAAAGTCCGTCCCCATCACGATACGGAGAGCATATAATTTGTAACCCAGGGGCTAACGGTTTTATCGAGTCACGGCCGAGGAAATATTTCTCCTTGACAAACATGTTCATACATTGACTGTCATTTGTGTATCGCCGTTGATTCAAAAATCATGTGGGCTTAGAAGTCGGTCAATTGTGCACAGAGGAGTGGGTAATTTCTGGATAGTTTACAAGAAAAGTTGTTTGGTTGGACCAACCATCGATGTATGACATACAAAAAGTATCTAAATGAAATACATGTATTCTAAGCAAACGTACACATGGTATAATTCTTTTGTATGATTCCTGTGTCAATTTGCGTTAATTTATTGATTTTCCCAAAGATCTATCTCTTCGAAATGTATACTTTGTATGCTAAAAACATTGTAAAATGTTTAATGCCAAATAAACTATTATTGTATATTATCAGAAATGGTCCCTAAACCCACCTTAAGATCGAGTTTTTATGTTAAAGATGTATCTTTTCCAGGAGGATAGATTATTCAATTTGTTAAGAAAAACGATGTAGTGTTACTTCTTAAAATAATTTTCATATTTAAAAAAAATGATATATTTTTTTAATCATCTCACGTCCTTTGAATTTTATGTAACTCGTGGATATTTTTTTCAGCAAATCAAATTCTGGCCATGTAACATGAATTATCACATCGGTTAAATTAATTACATTTATTTAAATAATTAAATAATCCATCAATCCATCCATCCATCCATCCATCCATTCATTCATTCATTCATTCATTCATTCATTCATTCATTCATTCTTTCATTCATTCATTTATTCATTTATTCATTTATTTATTTATTTTTATTTATTTCTATTTATTTATTTATTTATTTATTTATTTATTTATTTATTTATTTATTTATTTCTTCATCTCTAAGGCAAATGACGGATGAGACCGATGTTAGTAAATGGTGCGCATTTATTTGCGAAGCAGATTTTCTTTGAATTGATTTAGGTCGATACTGGCGTCTTAATTGTTTCCATTTCAAAAAATACTGTTAAAGAATTAAGAAAAAATAGTCTTTTCCTATGAAATCATATTACATATCTTTGCATTTTTCTTCAGTTTTTCAGATAAAAAACCATTCAAAACCATAAGTCATGCGATCGAGACGTCTAAGGACAACGCATACAACGGTTCTAGTGAGTTTATTATCAAGCAATCAAGAAATAAAAGAAACTATCTGACTTAAGTAAAATACAATGTACATATAATAGCTATTTAATTTATTTAAAAAGTTTGTCAAATAATTTTGCAGTGGTTTAGTTAGTTTATACAAATTTATTGTAGTTCAATTGTGTTGGAAGCTATAAGCTTATAGAAGCAAATTCGAATCCGTTCCTGGAACCAACCAGTTCTATGCAATGAATGATTTGTTTCTGCTTGCACCTGGCCGGTTTATTAAGATAATCTGTATCATTGTACTTATAAAAACTTGCATGTACGAATTTCCAATAAAAATTATAAAAACACATCAATAAAAAATAATTTCTTTAAAATATTATACCTTTACTATACATGTATAGTTCTCATTCAAAAGTCAGTGTTAGAAATACAGTTCAACCCCCGAAGAACAGCACTTTGTAGAGGAATTCCCTCATTACAACACCAGTTTCAATTCTTCCCAACATAAGACTCAATCAAACCGAGTCTGCAATTTTCATGTAATTTTGTTGTGATTATGGCTTCTAAAGGCTCACACTTTTTCCAGATTTTATACTTCACAACAGGAGGTGTCAAGTGTTGTGTGGCAGCTGCAAAAAGTTGCACCTTACTTCATTTCAGTGTTGTAATATTTCTCTTTTCCTTTGGGATCATTGATTCCAACACTTTTAAGTGTTGAAAATTGAGTACTGCTCACGAGCGATGTTGCATTTTTTATTATCCTCAAAGTACACACTAAAATATTATTATGCAATTTTGCAATTTTCATGTAATCTTGTTGTGATTAATGCTTCCGAAGAATCACACTTTTTCTAGTTTTTTTCTGTAAATTTAGCCTCTCTTGTGCAACATCTCTACGCAACAACCAAAATTCGGTCTCCTAAAAGGTATTGCTCTGCGGAGGTTATACTGTAAAAACAATGTAATGTTATGATATTATAACTCTTAACATGTTCATTGAAAGTTCATTTGTTTATGTTTAAATATAGCCATGTATATTGAATTGATGCCTGGCTACCATAACCTTGAAAGCACATTGGTAATTAAAAGGCCAAATCTCGTCATCCGGTCTTATAGGCGTCAAGAAGTTCACGTGGTATGTTTGTTGTTGTTGTTGTTTTTTTCTGTTTTTACTTTGTCCCTTTTCTAGTGAGAGATAGATCCATATTGAGACATAAAGTACGACTTTTCTTTGATGTAAATGCTCTTGCAAAAATAAAAAACAAAAACAAAAAAAATACATACAACTAATAAACAGGATCGTTACCGCTTTGTTTGGTGTTTTTGGTGTTATAGATCATAATAATACATGAATATAAATATGGGATGATCTCGTTTGAAATACCTTTTTTACATATAATGTAAAAAGTTATTCTTCGTAATTCATAATTATTATACATTCTAACGGTGAATAAAACACTGTTTCTAAATGTCATAAGAAATGTTGCTTATTGAATTTATATTGTATTTATATTGAATCAATGTCATCAGTTTTGTCATACTTTTGGCATATTGCATCATATATATCTTTTTTACAACAAAGCTCCGACTAATTAAATTTATTTCAGACTGGAGGGCGCAGGATCCCGTTCAGCCTGGTGCATCCAGTAACAGATAAAGCAATTCTGTCCAGATTACCAGTTAATGCAAGGCCTCATGTAAGTTATACGTTATATGTTTATAGTCAATAGTTTGTCCTAAACTGATTTGCGCATGCGCGAGCACATATTAACATCCTATCAAAATACAAGGCAATCGGTTACAATATAAACTAATCATACATTAGTTCAAATTGCATGCAAGTTAATGTGTATGCATTTATGTTTACCAAGTCAGCTTTTTACATATTTTCTTTCTGTTGAGCCTTTTAAACAATTGTTATCATTTACAACTTTAATGGTACAGTCCAATTCTAAATCTGGTTAAATCGGTTTAGAAGATATGATACGAGCATAATTCCTCACATGAAAGAATCCAAAGACCCTGTCGGAATACGAACCGACAATGACAAATTTACTACTCGGTCACTGACGACCCATTTGATATTTTGATATCTGCCAAATTAGAGACTTGTCGTCAGTAACGTCATATGCTGCACACAAGTTACATATCGTAGTCAGGAAAAACAAAATCAACAGGAGACAAATCATGAACACAAAACATAACAATCGTCATCTTTGGATCACAGCAATCGATTAATCGAATAGATTTCTAATTAACGGATAGCGTAATATATATTTCACACATCTCTGTTTTACAGATACAAATCTCTATGAACTTTTCAACTATTCCTGATTCATTTATCATAGCGTCAATGGTATTACTTTCCGCTTTCCTTGCGCAGTGGACTTTTAAACTCACACAGACATAAAAAATTAGGGTTACATATTAAATGAATATATATGAATTTTGCATCTTAATTTATTACTAGTATTATGTAGCACAACGTTTGCGTATTTTCTGAATCGCTTGCCAACCATTTCACGGTTTATCAGTGTTTGTAACGTAAACAGTTATTACTTATAATTAATAAAAAATCGCTTTTACCACATTTTCTTATTCAAACATATTCTACTTTTTGAAATATCTGTCATGGATGAGTGATTTTACTAAAATTTTCCAAACCAGGGCTTGTGAATTTGATAAGACTACCATAAGGCCTTATAAACCATATTGATGAAAACCGATTTTGAAAAAAATGTTGCATTTGTGTCTTTCAGTTTATCAATTATGTCACAATAGATGAGCCGGGTTAATACATTTTAATCCTTTAAAAAATACTTTTACAGAAACTATCTTTTCCCTTCAGTGACAAAAGGTTTTAAATTATCTATTTAATATGTCTTCTTCAGGTTCGAGTTGTTGATCTCCATGACATGAACATTACAGACTATGGTAAAATGGAGAGCTATGGCACGAATCATCACCGTAATTCTCCCCTAGAACTCTTTTTCAACGGTCAGCCACTGCATTACACAAGATGGCCAAACGAAGTAACGTTTTGGTTTTACTTCCAATTTCATTTCTGGTTTTTTCTTACAATTTCAATAATGAAACCAATTTTATCAAAATATACAATATCAAAGTGGTTATAGTCTAGATATAAGAAATAAATCATTTATACACATAATACTTAATGCATGTATATGTGGTTACTAGTATGTGACTTTCTACTTTTTAAATACTTAACAAGTATCAAAATATTCTTCTTCTCTTAAAGTCATTTTTTTCATATGATGAGTTTGAAGGACTAAAATTATTTGAAATGTTCTATACTGTAGGGGTTTCTTGATATAATCAGCTTTCCGGATGGTGTCAAGGGTACACGTTTTCGTTACAATTCTACGGTACCACGATCTTGGCATAATGAAAATGATCCTTGGGTATACGGATACTGGTAATATAATCAATATATTGGTAACGTTATATTGTACTTGGAATACGGTTTATGACCATAATTATTCGTCATAAGCATTTTTAAAAAAAGGGTCTATGTTGATAAAATTTTGGTGATATTTACAAATGTATGTTTAAGAAAATCTTATATTTCTCACGAGAATACTAGTAACTTGAATAAGAAACTTTAGAACATAAACAGAAGTTGTGTTGAAACAAGGACAGAGTCGAATCTAAACCACCGATAATGATAATACACATGATATGTAATGTGATTATGATAATGATGATAATGGTGATAATGATAATTCTATCACTCCAAGTGATTTTGTCACTATAAACAAAGAAGGGAAAAAAACGGTGTTTAACTGACAATAAACACTGGTTAGGGACTACTTGTATATGCGGCCTATAGTTTACAAAGCCTTTTAAAGCATCAATAAAAAGCATTTTTATTTATATTTTCAGTTCTTATAATGTTTTCTTTTCATATAATACCGAAATTATATCTCACATACACTAACGCCACACATTTGATCCATATCAGTTAATAAATATTTTAACAAAACGGCGCCAATCCGTAAGCAATGTTATGACGCCATCGTAAGTAAACAACTCATTCATAAACCAGCTGACGTTATTTCATACATACAAGAATTATAAATGAGGCACTGATGTAAATACAATACGACGTAAGTTTTTACAGTTGAAAACTTCATAAAATTACGTTTTTTCTTATTATGTATTTTGTTTAATAATTTCTTTTTCTTTGCAACAGTAGGGTGCGAAAATCGAACAGCGTTATACAAAAATCGGCACCGGAAGTTATTTCCGCTTGAAAAAGTAACATTAGTGATCTTCCTTATTTTATCGTGATAGAATCGAAATAACATCGGCCTGAGAGGTGTATATCGGCTATTTAACACCGGTTTTGTCGTTTTGATGCGTAAAAATTAACCACTCAGGCCTACGGCCTTGTGGTCAATTCCTATTCATCAAAACTCCAAACCGGTGTTAAATAGCCGATATACACCTCTCAGGCCGATGTTATTTCTTAAATATTGTGATTGTATGAAATTATTTAAATGTATTTTTGTGTTTTACTAGAATACTTTTAGCTCACCTTTATTAAGACTATTCACGTGACCCTCATGTAAATAATGTGGCACTCTTATTGGTATTACGTGTATTTTCTGATTGAAATAATAATTAATTATGTTAAACCTTATCCTAAACTGAGATTATCAAGAAAAACAAGTTCTAAAAATTATAAATATTCATAATTTTTACGACATGACAATGTCATACATTCACATTTCATAATTGTGTCACAGGTTTGCAGGTTGGACTGATGAAGCAGTTAAAGTAAAATCTCTAGATGCCACCAATGAGATCGTTACTTTAGAAAGAAAACCGGTTATTGGATTCAGGGTAGAAGGTATTATCAAAGCTAAATGACATGAACGAATAATTTAGACATAATACAGCTTTTTTTCACTACATGAATAAAGTAAAATGGAATTCACGCTAGATTAAGAATAGTATGTCTATCTAACTTAATATGGAACGCAATGCATCCAAAATACAAGTAAAACAATGTAAAAGTTATTAATATTTAGTTTCGTACTTAACACGTTATTTATTTATTTTTTTTTGTTCAATAGGGCATTGGGAGGAGTTTCAAACAAATGATGCGGCAGGAGAGGGGGGGGCATTTCCGGTTTATAAACATTCTTGCAGAGCTTGATCAACCGGTAAGTTTAAATACGAGAGACGCTTGACCAACCGGTTTGATTAAAGGTTGGAGGGACAAGGGGGAATGCATGTCTCTTCAATTTTAGGAATGTGGGGTAAAAGTAATACTCATGTCTCAACCATGTTTATTTATGTAACAAACATGACATTGGTGAAAACACTCTCTAAACATATTTTATGTGCTATTTAGTCCTGAATAAAGGAAGCTTTTGTTCAAAAAGCCGGCGTTTATAATACAAAATTAATCAATGATAGTTAAAAATATGTACTCATATGCCAGTCGTTACCAGTTTTGAAATATAACTGCATATGTATTTGTAATTCATGTGAATATTTTACATTCGTATTATTTACATTGTGAAATGTAATTTTAACACGCTTATAACAAAATATATTTAAGTTCAAAATAATAGTTTATAAGATTTGCACTTGGTTGCTTGCTGCTCGCCATTATGTGATCTTGTCCCAAATATGCATGTCCATATGCAGTCACCACAACATAATGGTGCCTCGCAAAATTTGTACTTAATAATATTTTTTCTACGTATTTTTTCTTCAACTTATAAATTTACAGCACACAGTTGTGATTTGTATAATTTACTCTTGACTACATAGAAATTCTTCATGGAAGAAAGAACTAAGACTGTATCGATCTGACAAACTATTTTATTGTAGTAGCTTTTTCTATCATGCTTATAAATTTTGAATTCTCATTTAAAGATCTGGAGAAGGGTGATCCCTCGGAAGCATTAATCCCAACAAAATTACTGAAATTGTTTGAGTCTGAACATTAGGAATAATGAAAAAATGCAACATCACTCACGTCTCCAGCAACGGCTAAAGCTTACACCAAAGGGCGGATACTACATGAACGTTTATTGTGTGGCCTTAAAGCATTGTGTTTATCTTCAATTCCTTCGGTTAAAATACTTGTGTTATTGGTCAATTGCGTCAGCTAATTTTTGGATTTATCTTTTTGTCCTGATATTTTAGGGCGTAAACTCTATCCCTATGGCATCCTTTTTGCAACATTTATTTATCAATATATCTTCTTTGGTTAGAGGCCAAATAATTCGTTTTTTTATAATTCGTTTTTAGTCTTTTTATTTTGTTTTACATATCTTTGTTTATCTTTTTGCCCTTTAATTTCAGGGCGAGTACTATCTTGACCGAGTAAGTGGAAAGTTGTATATGTGGGCACCAAATCACGATGGGAATATACATTCATCTGATGTACTATATATTTCTATGATTAATAATTGCTTTGAGTAAGTTAAGAGTCATTTTTGTTTTTCAAAATATATCTTTCTTTCGAAGACAACGAATATATAGTGAATTTCATAATTTGTAAATATAAACAAAGCTTTCTTTATCTGTAAATATAGAAAAATAGAATCCCCAAAGAAAGCCCAGCACGGCAAAATTGAACATGTTGCAGACTCTGTTTGATTAAGCCTGTTCACGATCGGTAGTGGTAATTGCAAGCTATCGCCAATACCAATACCGGCTTGGGCGTAATTCAACATTTAAACACGAAAATGTTGTAATTTGAATTAAATTTTTTAGATATGTTGCCATGTTGAACATATTATTTCAAAACAAACTCTATTTATGATCGGCATATACGTTTTTGGTTCATTTGACTTGCATGTGCATTCCATGATACATTATTGTCAATTAATGATCTACACATCATTTTCTAACTGTAAGGCAAAACTTGTTGTTTTCATTCCAATATTATGACGCAGGGACATTTCTTTGTATTGCTTTTTATTGCTTTACATTAACTCGCAAATACAAATAGGAAACTGATTATACTGTGTGATACTTTCTGAATTGTCTGGATAACTATCATTAGAAAATAACATTCCGTGTCGATTGCAAACTGTATGATTCAATGCTATCGACTTCACCACTCTAAGTCTGCACATGTCTTAAATTTCCAACGTTAAAAGTTGTACTTAAAATGTAGCACATAACTTGTCTTCGCCTATAGTACAGGAATGGTTTTTCTTTATCATTTTTTAGAATTTATCCTCCAGCTGAAAATATCCATCTTGAAGATTTCACTTTAGAAGAATGCCGAAGGCACGGCGTTTTTGCTATTAATATGAAGGGAATAAAGCTGTACAAGCTTGAAATTCGAAATACTGGTAACTTACTTGATTATTGTAAAATGTATTTCTTTTTTCTGTACCTTAGTGAAACTATTCAAGTTCTACATAAATTTGAATCAATTAATACATAAAATTTAGAATACTTTAAGGTGTATTTGAGACAATCTTTACATGCATGTTGTAACCAAAGAGCTGTACAAAAACAAAGGGCCTTTTATACAGTGCTAATGCATTAAATACCCATGTACTTTTATCATGCCTTCTGCAGGGATGTATTACATATATATTCACATAGTATATATCTTTTGCATTACGCTAGGCATAACAAGCAATGACTTAATTTTCAATATTCCTTTTGTTGCCGGGGTTTTCTTCGGACCAACACAGTAAAGGCCTTTCGGCGACCTGTTGAGGTATACCCCATTTTGTATCATTATTTCAAATATAATGTAAATAAAAAATCTTCAGATTCTGTCGTATATAATGTTATGATTGCAACAATTGACTTACCTATAATATTGTATTTTGTCATTTTATAGGTAATATAGCCGTAAATATAATTGGAGATTCAAGGAATTGCCAGATTTCACAGTGTTACGTTCATGATACTTGCGGGGGATTATGGATGAACGGTAATTGATGAATGATTGAGAAAAAGTAGAATGTTTAGTAGGCATTTATTGATGTAACTATGTTAATATGGTTAAAATCTCTGTGACATAAAAATAGTCAGATAGAAGTTTAAATAGCAGTATTGTACCATATGCTGAATGCGATTCCGTGACATTTGCCCCCAATCTAAACATGCATCTTTTTATCTCTGTCCTTTTTTTTTCTACTTTTTTGTGACAATTTATTTAATGTTTATGCATCATTGAATATTAAACATTGTTCCACATCCTGCCCCTGTTTTAGAAAATTGCTAAATGTATGTCAGTTTGCTGATGTATTAATAAAATTGAAACAATTAATGTATTAAAATAACTTCATAAAAAATGAAGATACACAAAAATGGATTTGATATACATATAGCAAATTGCATAACTCAACTGCAACTGTGTCCAGGAGGAAAATGTTCGTTTACCCATGAATGAACGTGACATGGTTGGTATTGCTGATCTTTGTGATAATTGTTTAACATGTATGCTGAATGTCAAACTTCACTGCTTAAGATACATTTTAGACTAATGATATTCCAGGTGGAAACAGGACAATCTTAGAATCTTCAGGCAATGTTATACAACACAATGAAGTAACCCGGTTTGACCGCCTTGGGGCAGCTGGACTTGAAGGTATTCATGCAAATGGCGATGGTTTCATCATCAAAAACAATCATGTTTATGATGGACAAGGCAGGGCGGTTGTTTTCTTGGTAAATAGTTTCATGTAACTTAAACAAAGTCTACAAAAGTAAGGAACCAGTTGACCAAACAAAGTGACGCATTGACGTCGGGACAAGTTGGCCTGACATTGTTTCGTTTTATTTTTGTTCGAGGAAACAATGAGAACTGAAATTACTTTGACCTGGCTGAAGAAAGTGATTGTCCAACTTAAACAAAACTCCCTGTTTAAAATACAATTGTTTTGCAAGATTCGTTCTATAAAGATATTGTTTACATTTGTTCTGATTTTTCAAGTATAAAATCTTGCGTTTAATTAATAATATTTTAAGCTCCAGAGAAATTGCATTTGAATGCATGTTCAGTATCTGTCGCCGTTCCGGGACATGCACAATTAACAAGATTAACCATTTTACCCGTACACTGCTATCCTAAGCCCATCAAAAATTGAGAATTTAATACCACATGATGACAAAATGAACCACACATTACCTCAAAAAGGGGCAAATTGGGGGTACGCCATCTGGCATGTTTTTGTTGTTGTTGTTGTTGTTTTTTTGTTTTTTTTTCGTTTTTCTCGGGTTACCTTTATATGGAGTTAAAATCTTCATCAAAATAAATCATATATGCTGCTGATAAGCAACTCCTAGCATTTTTTGTAATGCTAATACTTGTTATAACTTTTGTTTACAAAGGGTGTTCAAATATGAATGCAACTGGGTCAATTTCAGAAGTGCTTGAAAAACAGTGCTAACATAATTATCTCAATCCTTTAAATTACTCACTACTGAAATACAAATTTTAAGTCTTTTAATAGGTTTTTATAATATTTTTCGAGGTTAACTATTCAGACACCGGAAAATGACCGAACAGATATTTTGATATTTTCTTCAAGCAAGGTGTTTTTTAAGCCTGTGAAATAGGAAAAGTCACAAGGGGCATGATCTGGCGAATAAACAGGGTGAGGAAGCTCGACAACCTTTTCCTGTTTCAGATATTCTCGTATAATGACCGCTTTGTGTGCCGAATCATTGTCATTTGCTGTATTTGATCTATAATATAAGTGCCTGATCAGTATAATTATTTTTGCAATCCATTTTGCCCAAGTAGTTATTTTTAAAATATCTTTTCTAAAATAAAACCACTTCAATAAATAGGTTTTCGAATTTTCACAATGCTAAGGTCATCTATTTAACGCTTTCAAATTCATGTCACCATATTTGAGCAGCGATAACATACATATATAACCCACTGTGCACTACAACATAATTAGTAATTTCCTTTAGGAGATACAAATGTAAGAAATAAATTACAAAATTTAAATGTACTTTCTGTTTTGTCTTTTATATTGCCTTTTCAGCGGTTGAGGCGTGAAATTCGTTCCCATTCTCATTTATAAATATTACATGCTGCATGTGAATCACCAAAAGGGAAACCAATATATACCTTTACATAATAGATATCGGAAGGAATTTTTGGTCACGAACTATTTTAGCAAATGTTATAATTGATCAAAATCGGGTACGTGGACAATAAAATTATAAACACAAATAGGTGTACAAAAGGTAACACTCTAAGTTCCTGCCGTCAATGTCATACCTCTGATAATTCTGATTCCAAACTACACAACCTAGGAAAAACACATTTTGTTGGGATCATATATGTCGTAACATTGCTAATCTATAACGAAGTTATCCAATTTGCAATAGTCAGGCATTTAAAAGATGCGATGAAGCCCAAATTATTGTGGTTCGTGCTGCAAATGCACTTTTAAGACAACCATTCATTTAAATCCAGAATAATCACTATATCTTACCTGGCCTTTTAAATCTGTGGCTTCAATGAGTGTGATGTACTACCTAAATCTTATGTAAACTTCAGAGGATTCATATTCTATAAATACAATTGTGGCGGCATGGGCGAGTGGTCAGCGCTTCGGACTAGTAATCTTATGTTCGCCAGCCGCATGGGTTCATACCCTGACAGGGGCAAGTCATTATTTCCTTAAGCAAGAAAGTTTACACTCAGCGCTAAGTACTGGTTGGTTCCAGGAACGGATTTGAAAGTGTGTTTATAAGCTAAAAGCTGCCTACACAATCGAACTAAAATAAATTCTGTATAAACCAAATACAATTGTGTTTATTTATGAAAATGACATTTGAAGATATGTATTATAAAAGTATTTTATCACAGGAAATGACATTTGAAAACATATTCTTTATCATAAATAGAATTTTATTTATTACAGGGTAATGACATCAACATTAGAAATAACCTTATTCATCACGTGTGTAAAAACATGTCAAATTGCCAAGCCTTGATCTCGTACAATGACGTGTCGTTTGTAAGTATTAAAGTAATGATTTAGTCAACGTTCACAAACACTTTTATTACATCTATTACTTGTGGCTGAAGGGTTGCCTTTCAGGGTTGTAGCATCAGCTTTGCCTCCTGATTTTATATCTGCGTGGTTCTAAGATGCGACTTAATGGGTTGAAATCACTGGAGTATATGCATCTTTTAGCTTCAGCATTTGAGATGGTTCTGTCCACTTTGTGTTGCTTTAAGTTGTGACACCACAGGTAAGACTAAATCATGTCTCCTGTTTTGGCGCCATATCACCTAAATGGTGTTGGTGCGCCGTAAAACCAATCCAAAACAAATATTATGATTGTATTGTATATTGTTTTGTAACGAGTATTTCATCATGTTTTCATTATAAGTAAACATAAGCAAAAATACCGTTCAGCAGATGATCCACCTGAATTATAGTTATAAACAGATGAACTATACAACTTCGTTTAAAATTGATAATTATTATAACTGTCCCTATTGTTGAAAAACAAACATTCAAAACATTTCACCTTTAAAATACTTTTATATTAATATATTCCTGTTGTAATTCGGCATATTATATCTAATAATTATATAAACCATTTTAGTATGTTTTTGACTGATGAAAGTCTTTGCGTCCTTTTATTAACTCTTACTAAGCAATATTTTTAATTCAAAAATTCCAATAATAATAATACATCTTTTCAGCGTGGGAATATAATTCAGACCAACATTGTGCATGATGTCTATAAATTTATTCCTGGTGGTGCAAATAAAGCTATACATCTTGACAACTTAATATCCGGTGTCAAAATAGTGAATAACGTATTCTATAATGTAAGTATAATATGTCTATCAAGTCACTCAAATACTTAAAATTATTTGTTTGAGGATCAAAATCATCTCATTAACTCATGCAGACAATTTAAGGGTAATTAAAAGCGTAGAACCTACCTTAAAAATTCAAAAAATGGCTTAAAATTGTATGTCAAACTTGACTAAAAGATTTAAGATATTTTGACGAAACTATATCAACAAATTGGTGATTAAAACGTTTTTTCCTGTAGATTCCTTTCTGCAATATCGCGCAATTGACCCAGCAAATAGTAAAATATTGGCACTACAAATTTCGTTTCACACAGTAAAATTATAAAGTTTAGTTCATTTGAAGAAAGCAGTTCTGAACGCAAGCTAACATCTTTCAGGCCTCAACGGAGGGTAGGTCATTAATTAAAGATGTTGTGTACAATTTAAAATGCAATACAACACTTTCTGACCATTATTCTGTTATATGAAACACCATGTTTCCCCCAACCAACAGATCCTTGCAATATTTCGAAAGTATAATTACTGTAAATACTATATTTGTTAGTAAAAACCAATTAAGAAGGCTGTTTATGAGGTAGGTAAACTATTTGGCCCTAGATAGTTAGGAGGGAGCGTATAGGAAATTACCATTACCTCTGGAATAATGAGCCCCTTAGCCTGTTCTATGTATAGGTCTTACGGTGAAAAATTGTCTTCATGACTTAATGAGAAATTACCCTAGCAGCGAAAGTACTCCATTTTTTTAAAACGTCTATAATTCTTTTTTGAGTATTTGGGACTCGAACATCCCACAAATCTGACTACATAATTATTTTCAACATCCATGTTCTATCCTGTAAATCTAGTATCAAGTTCTATGAATTTAAAAAAAAGTAGCCTTCACACATAAAGATTTGCTTTAATTCGTGTTGTACTTCTAAATCCAACTGTCTGTTAAGGCCTTTAAAAAGGGAATGGCATATCAAAGGATATAAAGATATCATTATATAATTACATATCGCAGACGGTTTAGAGGAGATACAATCGGAATATCAAAAAATTGTAGATATCAAATTGATTATTTCAGAACGGAATACACGTAACTATCGGAGGGGGACAGTATAACGAAATCAAAAACAATGTCATGTATAATGCCAAGTATGGAAGCATTAGCGTCGATACTCGTGGAATGAATACAAACCTTAGTAGAATGCTCGATGAGCGGTTACATGTAAGTGCCCCAACAATATAAGCTTCGAATATATTTATCTTTAAAGCAACACAATTAATAAGAAGGTAGGTCAACTCGACCGGCAATATTGAACCATATTGCAAGCTCTGATTGGCGGCTGGGCCTTTTCAAGGATGCAACCTATCGTCCACGCACCCTAGCACTGGCTTTTTAACCAGAGCTCACTATTTTTAAACATGAAAACGATATTTTGTTTAAAATCAAGAAACATCCGAACGGCAACTGTTTGTTCGTTGTTTCAGATGCCTCTACATGGTCATAACGATTATTTCAATTCCTTTAATAAAGATTTTCACAAAATCGTTTGCTTTTTTGATCAAACCATTGTTTATGTAAATCAAACTTGTTAATTGTAAATTGTTACGAGCCAGGCGTAACGAGAAAGAAAAGCCAGCAACAAACTTGTAACAATAACAAATTTATTACAGAAAAATTATCAAAGAAAAAATAAAATAACAAATTATCTTTACAAATACCTGAAGTCCAAATAAAAATTACAAATGTCTAGTCTGATCCTGGAATGATCCTTTTTTAATAGCACAGTTAAATCCAAGTTAAATCCAAGAACACTTTAGAATAAATTCCCACAATAAAATCCACAAGAATAATTAATAATCCAAGCTCCAATAAATCACTTAATTTCCAAGTTGAATAATACTCCAAATATATTGATGACTTAAAAGATCACTGATGACTAAAAAGGTAACTGATGACTTAAAGATAACTGATGACTTAAAGATAAGAGTAATGAAAAATGTCTCCTTATATATATTAACTAAGAAGTTTCTAGAATAGTCTTCCATTTACTACAGTAATCATAATCTAGCAACTTCAACAATAAAGATCATTCCAGAAATTTCTATCTAATTATAAAGCATGAGTTTTCCTCAACAGTTAAGAACGTTCTAGTACATACATGTAGTTTATGTTCTAAAATAGAACAATGACAATATTGGAAATACCAACTGGTCAGATATAATCTATATACATGTAATATGTTGCATACATAACAAAATTGATTTCTATTTCTCGTAAGCTGAATACTAGTTGGGGATGGTTCTATGAAAAAATGTGCAATCAGACACAGCTTTAAGGAAATATACACTTTAGATGACCTAAATGTCAAATATTGAAAACTCTAACTTTCACTTAATAGATCACTTGCCCCTTACCACTGTTGATTCGAATCTCGCAATAGACTTTGGATTCTGACATGCATTTGAAGAAGCTATGCTGCTACTTTACGGAACATCGGCGTTTCTACTCAAGTGCCCGTTTATGCCTGAAATAATGCACGGAGGGGCACTTGAGTTCTTCTTACACCAAAAAAGCTAGAAAGGCGTCAAATGACAATTACGTTGTACATTTCTGTTAATACGTTGAACCCGACAAGTACTTAAAATGGCATATAAACAATTTCTTTATCAGGCAATGCCGTACAATGCATCCCTGTGGAGTCTACGTTACCCTCATCTTGCAGACATTGATCCTGTACATGATGGATACCCTCCAATAGGTGATGGAATTTTTATACTTATTGTTCCTGCGTGATATTCAATAGTAACTTTTTTTGAAAAAATGAAGCATACAAAGTTCTAAATTTTTCTCGTATATCAATTGCACTTTTTGTCATTTGCTATCGTATTGTTTTAAGTTCACATTGGTCTGACACCAAGCGTATGAAAGTAAATACTATAAGAAGTAACTGACCCTTACAAAAATGGTACACACTAATATGTTTCAAAAATATATGCACATAAGCAAAAATATTTATCAACTGATCTGAGTGAGGCATTACATGAACTTACTAAAACACCACAATTTTAACTGAAATTGCATATAAATGCACAACACATTCACTACTTTTAATGACCAAATATACAATCAGATCGATGATGAGCAAATAGACAAGAGTCACAACTGATAACAAAAGTTGCATGATTGAAATTCAATTTTAAGGTATTGATTTGGTGTCCACTGAATTAATTTTGAATGCTTTTTGTCAAATAGTATTTATTCATTTATTTAAGTAATGTATCAGTGACCTTTTTACATAATAATTGGAATAATCTATTACAGTGTTTTCATCATGAAAATCAAGTTTTTGAATGGAAAACAAATTTCAAATTCGAACCCCAACTTTACCTTTTGAACATTTGATCTAAATGGTGCATTCATCAGGAACATTGAAAGTTCAAATGCAAATCAAACTGTGCGCTTGTCGAATATTCCACTACCGTTCACTTTACTGTAATTTGTATCATAGTTTGGGGACATTTCTGTTGAAAATGTGCCAGAGATAAATCGTATACATATACATACACAGTGCGTTAACTGGAGTGCAAGTATTAGTTACCCGCACTCCAGAGCATGACTAGTGATTGGTTCATTTTTTACGGAGTTTACTTATTGTGACGGCAGAGAAAGAGAAAACGATAGAAATATCATATTCAGATGCTCGTTCATTGGTTAATTTTTTCTGGGTTTCATATTGTGACAAAAGGGACTGTGTTTTTATGTTTGACTATGATACAAAAGAGAAAGAACGTCAAAACACTCGACAATCTAATTAATACTCGGCAAATCAGATAACTTCGTGTTTCGATGCTCTTTCTATTACGTATTCAATAAGCTGCTATGAAACTGGAAACTGATTTGATATTTTAATATGAAATCTCACTTTGATCTTGTCTTATGACCTACATATATAACCAATCAAAGATAGTTACTGAGCTATAAGACTTTGTAATAGAGTTCTCAGAAATTGAATTACATACGTAGGGTAAACAAAAGGACTATCGTTTGTAATTTTTATTGATAAACATCAATACGTTATAATGTTATGATAAGCGTGTAAATTTGCTAAACTATTGTGTTATAATGATAAGTTTGCAGAATTAACTAAGGTAAAGTGTATGATATAATATCTTACCTTTTATAGGTAATCAAATAATCAAGAATATGATTTATGCTGCTCCACACACATATATCATACGTGGAATTCCTTCACAACTACAAGCCAACGCATCAGCTTACTTCAACCTATCACAAACTGGCTTTGTAAGTTTACTTATTATAACTTACTCTTTTATAACCAGCTGGTAGTTCTTTTTCTTATATTGAAAAGAAATAAAACAAATCACCCCTTTTGCTTGTGAACTTGAAGTGCATTGATCTACAACTGGAACAAATTTCAAATATTGATAAAAGCACTAGAAATATACCAATTGGATATAATTACAAAATATTCTTGAAAAACTGTTTGCCTAGTTTTAAGTCATTTAGTATAACTATTTATAAGAAAAACAATTTTATTGTCTGTTTTATATAAATTAAATCATGTATCTCGATCATACTTGCCAACACTTTTCATGTATAATACTGTGTGGTTAATTGTCGCGAATGATACTAAATACTCAGAACAAATATAATTAAATAAATAGTATCATGAACCTATCTTTCATTTTTTTTCTGTTTTTTGTTGTTGTTTTTTTGTTGTTTTTTTGTTGTTGTTTTTTTTATTTTTTGTTGGTGTTTTTTGTTTTTTGTCTGGATCAAGAATTTTCTGAATGACGAAAAGCAAACCTACAGTTTTTTACGATTAAACCGGAAGAGGATGGAAAATTGTTATTTTTTAAAACTCTGATGAAATACATTTTATACGATTTGATTTTTATTACAGTCGAGTGGAAGTGGAGACCATGTAGATGTATCCCAACGTGATCTTAGGGTAATATGTAGGGCTAGAACGTGGGCAAGCATTATTGGATTTCATCAAGCAATAACTCCTAATTATGTCGGTCCGTCTTATCCTGTTGGCCCAACTTATCTAAACAGAGGTAAAATTCGTAACTTAGGTATCATTGCCTATGCTATGTTCTTTTTATTTTTCAACAGAGTAGAGTTTCCGATAATTTCAGATAAAACAATTAAATCATACACAGCAAATTTGCACTTTTTCTAATACAGTATTTATACATATACTTAGAATGACAACATTTAACCTAAACATTAAAACATTAGCCCTTGGAAATTCGACACTCATCGACAAATTCAAATGACCAGGAGAAACGAAACACTAATTTGTGTATAGATGTTCAATACTCTCTTCACGTTTATGTTGATTCTTTTCACGTTTATCTTGATTTTTTTTTTTTTTTTGGGGGGGGGGGGGTTGGGTTAAACATTTTACTTCGTCACTAATATTCGTCACTGAATACTTCGTAAATACAAATCTGTAAAAAGCAATATCATAATTAATATAAATTAAAAATTAGATATCTCAGTAAGTAATTGATATGGATGACATGAAATCACTTTTTGCAGAGTAGCATTTTATGCGCTATTTGGTGATAAATGAAACAATTAAAGAAATGGATGTTCCTTTGAAATCGGTACTCAACATTATATTATTTTTATTCTTTATTTTATGTTTTAGGGAGAGTGCACCTCGTTAATACAACTGTACCTTCAAACTGTACGACAAAACCCCCACCAACAGAACAACCAGTCCCTTCATATATACCTGATGGTTCAAACGGAAATGAGGTGTTCCACAGAGTGGATAAAACAGGTGATTTTTTTTCCAAGTATTTTAAAAATATACGGATAACTTTATTCCTCTGTGTGCATCAACAAAAGAGAAATAATGTATTATTTTTTGTTCTCTTCTTACAGAATTGGAAAACAAATCAGTAATATTCTACATGTTTTCTTGACTTTTTTTCTCAAGATTCAAAATGTTTTGCTTTATACCCTTTGATATTCTGTAAAAGTAATTGTCAAACAATAGAAAATGTCAGCCCAATTGCTTTCTTCAAAATATTCCTGAAGCAAAATATGATACTTGTTTGTCTTTGTAATAAAGTTATTCATATGTAAATTTCAGAGTGAAATGGTTTTTTTAATTAGTTTGAATGTTTAATATTCTTTCAGGGACATGGAATCTACTTATGCTACAGTTTTTTTAAAATATGCCAATAAACTACTTTATTCTTTTTATTGAGAAAACAATTGGCAATTTAAAATACCTTAACTATATTTTTTTGTCGTTTTAACTAGGTTGCTGGTTGAATGTTACGAAATGTGCCAAACACCCTACCACTATCGGTGCATACAGGGACATGTATGGCGAGCGTTACCGTAACGCCTCAGCGAACGAGTCAATGTGTTTCCGCCGGGCATTAGAGCATTGGCAACTGTGTGGATCTAACTTAAATGACCCTGTGCTAGTTACTTATGGTCCAACTGGTAATGAGAATTTTACAATTTAAGCCAGGTATATTCATATAGAATATGAGAACAACGACAAACAAGGGAAATATTGAAATTAAAAAAGGATATTGTAAAAGCTTATTGTTTCAAAATTTATAAATTGGCAAATGTTGCCTTTTTACACGAAATCACCTTCACTTTAAATCGAAACCAAATGTGCGCATTTATTATGCCCCCGCCATGTAATGGCCGGGGCATATAGTGTTACCCTGTTCCGTCATTCCGTCCTTCCGTCCTTCCGTCCTTCCGTCCTTCCATCCTTCCGTCCTTCCGTCCTTCCGTCATTCTGTCATTCCGTCATCATCAGTTTCCGTTCATTATCTTAAGAACGGTTGGGCACATTCAACTCAAATTTGACATATGGATATGTCATGAGAAAATACAGGTCAAGTTCGAATTTGGTCATGGTTCGATGATTTTTGGCAGAGTTATGCCCCTTTTACTTTGAAAATAATATGAAATTTCAGTTTCCGTTCATTATCTTAAGAACGGTTGGACACATTCAATTCAAACTTGACATATGGATATGTCATGAGAAAATACAGGTCAAGTTCGAATTTGGTCATGGTTCAATGATTTTTGGCAGAGTAATGCCCCTTTCACTTTGAAAATAATATGAAATTTACAGTTTCTGTTCATTATCTACCCAACAGTGTCACATATTCAACTTTAATTTGACATATGGATATGTCAAAGGAATGGGCAGGTCAAGTTGGAATTTGGTCATGGTTTGATGATTTTTTGGCAGAGTTATGTCTCTTTCACTTTGAAAATAATATAGATACATCTTAGGAATAAGCAGTTTAAGTTTGAATTTGGTCATGGTTCAATGATTTTAGACAAACTTATCTTTCCTGAATGTTGGAAAAATTTTGAACTTTCAGTTTCACCACTCATTCTTTTAGCCATTATTTTGGCTACAAATATGCAATATGCTATTTCTAAAAGGTTAAGACTGAATAATTTCAGTGCCTTGAACATTGTATGGAAATGGTTTGTGTTAACATTGAAAAGTTTTAAGGGCTTTGAACTTAAAATGAAAAAAATAATTTATGCACCATCTGAAATTTTGGCTGCATGCGGGGGCATCCGTGGCATGATGACACATTTCTAGTTTATATAACAAGTGGATACATGCAGGTTCCGTCTTAGTTATACCATCATGTATGGCAGAGTTAAGGCCCATAAAAGGTCCAAAAGGCATGCTTTGCATTTTCTACATCATAACAGCTGTATCAATCACAAATCCTGTGTTATTTTTTTTAGGACGATGTTAACTTTATGGACGTGTATACTGAAAATTTTAAGAAAAAGAAATTGCTGTCAGAAATCAAAAGATGTCTACATTTGACTTCTATGATTTTTTATTATTAAGAATTGACCATTGCCAAGTGGCCCTATGTTGTTATATAGTCATATTTTACAAATGTTGTTGATGCAAACAAATAACCCATATGGTTTATTGTAATTTAAACCCCCTGTATCAAGGACATTGGTACAGTTTGATGCATAATGACAATAAACTACAACAACTATGAGATATGACTATGCCCTTCTTTCATACTTATGTCATTTTCAAGTTATAGCATTTAAATTTCAGATTAAAGTTTTTATTTGTGCATGTAATTGGATAAATTTTAATAGGAAACTCTACGCTTGGTGGTGACAGCTGCTTTGCTTCTTGGTACGGATGTCCAAAACACGGGGGAAAACCAGAAGATGGGTTCACGGCCGTAAAACAACATCGAAACGGCCCCGATGGTTTCCGTTGATGGGTCTCAAAGAACTTCCCGGGACAAGGAAGGATGTTTAAGAAGATCGCCTTGGATATATGGCGATGGTGTGGTTCAAGTTCAAATTATCCTGTTACTAGTATATATCTGCCTACAGGTAAAAAAGAAAGATAACATCTCAACTTAAATTTACTTCTTCTGTAATAAATGCTTTCTTTAATTATTATTAACTCGTGGATTGATTTTTTTTCAAATATCAATGGATATGATTATATTATTTAACGGGTTCGTTCCCAGTTTTATCACTGACTTTAAGATATTTCAGTATTCATTTTTAAATTATTTTTGTTATCATATGGTTTAATGTTTTGCTTAACTGGAGTGAATGCATATTATATATCAATTCTCAGTTTTTAAGTTTTGTTAAATGAACAAGAAATAAATTGATTACCGAAAATGATTTAATTTTTATCCTCAGCCTGATAACGTTATCGTTTACCACATTGACTTACATTGAACTATCATAGTATTGTTTAATAATCTAGTAGTCATTGTAAGAGCTAGATATCAATGATGTGATTAGACATGGTTAACGTTTGATGTGGTAAAAGATTATCATGTTGATTTAGCCCTGTAGTATATCCCTGAAATGCTTAAAATCTTTTTTATTTTTGTTGTACTTTTCTAGTTTCTAAAACGTTACTCATTGATTTGTTACTTGAACAATACTTTTCGTCCGTTGACTTTTGGAAATGAGTACAGTAATAGTGATTTAGTATTTTTGTAGGAAAACCAATATTACTAACAGTTAATTTTGTTTACAAATTCGCTTTTATTAACACAAAAATTTTTCACATTTGTGCCACTTTTTCATGTTTAATTAAGGCATCTTTCTTATAAAAACTTTTAATTAAACGGTTTGGGAAGAAAATTTTCGGGCTCTTACTTTTAATTGTAAGAAATTTGTTTCATTTTCGTTTTTTTGGGATGAAAAATTTTCCTTTTTTTAAAAGAAAAAATCAATTTTTGTTTCTTAAAAAAACGAAAAAAAAATATTAATTTTTTTAAATTTAAAATGTTTTTTTAACCCTTTAAAGGAAGGCCCCAAAAAAACTGGCCGGGGTTTTGGTTTTTGGCCCCTGGAAAACCAAAAATTTTGGGGATAAAAAAACCCCCGTTTCCCTTTTTAAAGGAAAAAAAAAGGAAAAAAAAAAATTGGGCCCCTAAAAACAATTTTTTGTTAAAGAGTTTTTTTCCCGGGAAACCGTTAAATTAAACCAAAAAATTTTTGGTAAAATTAAAAAAAAACAATTTTAAAAATTCGAAAAACCTTTTTTGTTAAAAACAACCCAAAAAAGCTTTTTCTGGGTTTTTTATTAAAAAAATTCTTTTTAAAAAGTTTTTTTTTTAAAATTTTAAAATTTTTTGGAAAATAAAATTTTTGTATCGGAAAAAAAAATCAACACCAAATTGAAGGAAAAAAAAAATTGGAAAATATCATTCCCGTTACATTTAAACTAAGAAATGTGGTTCAGACCATAGCTTTTCTACAGGAATGAGAAACATTCTCCTTTCGCTATCGCTCCCGTCTAAGTTTCTAATTTCTGTAGAATAGCACGATGAACACTAACATATACTAAGAGATTATCCGGAGACTGGTGGAAATAGCCGATAAAAAACTATTTTGCATATTTATAAATCTTTTAGAATTAAACAAATCTTCCACAGCTGCAAAAAGACCGCTCGCAAATTTCTTTGTAAAAATGCAAACTTGTCGGGTTTTTTTGTTGCTGTTTTTTGTGATATTGTTTGTGAGCAATTAACCTACCATTTGATACGTTTTCACGGCTACAAACTAGAAATGTTCCATTTTGGTATCACAATACCTTTGTGTATTACTAATTAAGGTTCTTCACTTGTTCAATCTCATTTAAATCAGAGCATCGTTTTCGCTCCGTTACTCTTCGTTAGCAAAGGGTAGTTGAGTGACAGTTAGAAGATTGTGTCATGACAATAACCAACCACATTAGCAATCTTTTAGCTGACTCATAAGATTATTCCCGCACGTAATCAGCTGCATGTTTATCAGTTCGCTGAACCGTTTTCAAAATT